ACTTTTGCTTAGTCTTGTTGCGTCAAGGTGTCGTGACTTGTTCCTTTGTGATTCATTCATTTTTTTATTTTGCTTGAAAAGGCACAATTTATTTCTTTGTTCGCTGGCAAATGTCTCCAACCATGATCCCTACCTTCACGGCGTGTCCACGTGTGCCCACAGGTAGCCAAGGCCTGCCCAGTACCGGGGGAGCACTTCGGCTTCGAGAAGCCCGACGAGGACGGTTCGCCCGCATTACTTTTCCCTTTTTTTCCATGATTATTATTTCTTTATTATTAATTTTTGTCGCTCCATTATTACCTCTGTGCACTCATGTGCTGGGCACTCCAGCGCTCGGACCCTGCGACCCCCCGCTCCTCCCGGTAGGCCTCTGGACCGGGATGCCGACGACGGTCCCCACGTCCACGTCCACCTCGGCCACGACGTCGTCGTCGATCTCGAGCTCACCGGCCTCCTCAGGACGCAGCAATCTCACCAGTAAGTGTGGCCCGCTAGTTCGGGTAACCGCCGCGACAGCAGGACAGATGGCGCCACAGGGTGGGTGTGCAACGAAACGCACCTACCGTTTTGTTCAAAGGTCGTTTCTGAAAGAAGAAAAATAACTTTCAAAATTAATTCTTGTAGTGCTCAGCTGATGGGTCAGCTGATTTCTTAACATACACTTCCACCAGCAAAGACAAACAACAGCCATCAGTGACCTCAGTGACCGGCCAACCGGTGTCGCCGAGGTCGCCGGGGTCGCCGATGATGGCGTTGGAAACTAGAAGGCACCCTGCGCGCTGTTCTGTTTGTGTACAAGTTGGCCTTCTTTTCTTTTTGTTGTTATTGTTGTGCTGAGAGCGTATGATATCATCGGGGTAGGGCATCCAGTTCTTGGGATGTGGTTATCTGCTAGTAAGTTTCCCACTTTTGTAACCGGTCAGACAAATACTTCAACTGGAGTCGCTTAAAACGATGGGTAAGTGCGGAACGGCGGCGCCGTGTGGGTGTGCGAATCTGAACGCAGTGTTATCAGGGACAGCAGCGCAATGCCCTGAATCCCGTTGAGCCTCGCATATTTCACCCGATTTTTCGAGCCAAATGCTTAATGGCCTTCGCACAAACGGACAAGTTGCATATTTGTCCTTGATTGCACTCCTTCAAGGCGCCTAGCAGCTTTGCTTTGCTTGTATAATTATTGACCTCCATGGCCAGAGCCTACTTGTCAGAAAGGTTGGGTTGTCCCAGTAGCCTATTTATCATTTACAAAATACATTTCATACCTCTGGCACGATCGTGGTTTCAGTAAGTGTTCTATGCGATTTCTACGCCCGCAGTAATCTATTTTCATGATTATTTCCTCCTCCAGTATCCTTATCATGACTATGGCCTTTATATGAGGTTAAGTGTTTTCTCGGTCTCACATGTACATAATTCAGCACCTGAAAGCTTCTGAAGCACTTTTCTATTTTTAATGAGAATATCTAAATTTCTGTGTCATATGTATGTGGTTCTATCCAACTTCTATGACACCTATTTTCGTTTACCTACAGTCTCCGACTCATAACCGTAACAGATAGTTCAGGACTTTTCCTAATTCATTCAATTGCAATGTAGGTCTGTATCAATAATATCAAATTTATATCAATGCGCTGCCTACGTTCATGCAACTATATTATGGTTGCATTTCTGCTATAAGTAATCTGATGAAATTTGTGAAGTTGAGCTAGAGCCTATTCCTATTTCCAGTGGAGGCAGTGGTGGAGTTTGACTACTCAGCTCAGGAAGTTGATGAATTAACTATCCGCAAAGGCGATGTCATTACTGACATTCGTATGCAGCCTGGTGGATGGTGGGAAGGATGCGTGCATGGCCGGAGAGGAATGTTTCCTGACAATTTTGTAAAGGTGAGATTTCAAGATCCAAACTCTTACCAATGTTATCCTAGTTCATTATCTTAATTAGAATTATCTGTAGCGTATATATGTCCTTGGAGTCCTGTTTTGGAGGCCTTTATTTCAATATCTTAGTTCTCTATCTCCTCTTACTTTTTTTGTAGACCCTTTTACTTGTAACATTTATACCTGTAGTTATCTATGCATGCTACTGCAAACCTTTTCCTAGTTCTGCATCCAATCCTTATCACACACAAAACAACTTCCTCCACTATTCTTATGGCTCTTCTAAACAAAGCCATATTGCTCTATTGTTTCAGTGTGTTTGCCGGGAAGTGCTACAGCAGGCACCTGGCTCTGTTTGAATTTACAGTACCTTATTTTCTTTTAAGTTCTCAGAAAATAAAAAAGGAAAATATCTTTTACTGATATTGATTTAATCACCTGACAGTTATCCTTTTTGAGTATGGAATATCTGCCACAATCTGCAAGTTACTGAACTATCACATTTCATTCATTCCATATGTTTCCATGTTTCTTCATTGAACGTTACAACGTACAGTTCCATCTTTGACATGTGCTTGAGGGATTTTATTTTTACCCCATTCCCAATCAACTTATCATTTAGATTTTCTGCGAAGGATGTTTTATTGCTCTTGCACTGTGTTGCTTTGCATGAATAACATGTTTGTAGAAGTGGTGTAATGTTAATATGTATCTCTTGGTTTTTAATTTGAGACTAACTTATAAAAGCAAACTTACTTAGCAAATATTATTACATAATATATTCAGTAGCAATGCATGACCCCCTCTCCCCCTTCCCCGTACTATTTTTGCATGTAGGTCTGTATGCTGTAGGTTTGGTAAGTGTTTGATATCTATTCTACAATGTGTGTGATAGTGCCCTAAAGGAAGTTTGTCTAAATTTGTTTCTAAGGAATTATTTTTTACAGGTTCGGAATAAATCAAACAGTAATTCTAGTAAAGAAACAATGGCAAACAATGAAGTTCAGTTAAGAGCAAGTAAGTTTAATTTCTAAGTTAATCTCAATGTAATTTTCCTTGTTATATAACTTATACCTATTAATCTTTGATTATAATTTACAGGCAGCGGTAGGAGATGTAAAGTTCTTTTTAGTTACCAGCCTGCAAATGATGACGAATTGGAACTTCAAGTAAATGATGTGATTGAGGTTTTAGACGAGGTGGAAGAGGGTTGGTGGCGAGGCAAGCTCAGAAACAGGGTATGCACCAGCATGACTTGCATTTAAGTACTAACGTGCTGGATTTTGTTGTAATATCATAACCCGTTATTTCAACTATTTTCAGATGGGAGTTTTCCCGTCAAACTTTGTGACAGAAGTAACTGAAAAACAGGCTAATGGAGGTCCGGGTAGCCGGAAGACATCAGCAACACAACCCCCACCTCTTTCTATGGTTCGCAAGGAAGAAATTTCAGGTAGCTAGCCTTTTTTATTTATCTGCTAAGTTGTCATTAGTTCTCTCAATAAAATTTAATTGAAAATTTTGTGACAGTAATACCACCAGTGGAAAAAGTTAAAGGTGTCATTATGAGTGAGACTGATTCACCTGCATCCCCAACGGGCCCAGACTCAGGAAATCCTAAGGCAATTGATGTAGATGCTCCTCTTCTCCCACCTAAACCGGGTAAGAAATAAAATGTATTTTCATTTTTGTCAATTCTTGCATCAAATGTCTTGTGGCATGAGCCAATGCAGCTTAATGTTAATTATATCTATCTATCTTAATGCAGTGAAAGAGCTGTGTAAAGTTCTGTACCCATATGAGGCAGCCAATGAAGATGAATTAAATTTGAAAGAAGGCGACATTGTTACTATTGTAACCAAAGATGTCCAAGATAAGGGATGGTGGAAGGGAGAACTTCGTGGTCATATTGGCCTTTTTCCTGACAATTTTGTTGTTGCACTACCCCCAGAGGAGGTATAGAAATGTTTATGCAGCTATCAAAAACTCAATATTATTCTATGTATTATAAGTTATAATGGCTGTTTTTCTTTTAGACACCACAAGCAAAGAAACCAGAGAGACCGCCTCCTGCCAAGTCAGTAACATCAGTTTCCTCCATCAAATCTACTGATAGCTTTTCTAAAAGCATTAATTCTACTGGGAAGAAAACTTCTGAAAACAGTTCCAAACCAGGTTTGTTCTCATCTCTGTTTGCAGTTCTTTGCTTTATTTTCTACAAGTCTGAGCAGAGCATAATCTATCTATTTATTTCAGATGAGAAAGCCCCTCCAGTGCTCAGCAAGAAACCAGCCCTGCCCCCAGCATCTAAAAAACCACAGTTACGAACCCCAACACCCTCTGTTCCACCACCAATCAATCCTGTCACAGCATCAAAGCGAGGAGGTACTGAAGTAGCTGACAGTCCTGAGCAAAGGCTAAATGATCTTGTAGATGGCACCGCAAGTAGTAAAATTAAAATTACAAGCCCTGCATCTGCAGGTGAGTTGCATTGTTGTTGATTAGCGCAGTGGCAGCAAGAGGAGAAGATGTTAAACACATCAAATCATGTGCTTCATAACTTGGCTTTACTCTGTAGTTTAGCTCTCTAAAATATAAATAAAGAAAGACCACTTTGAATTATACACAGTATGTATGTAAGAAATAATGACTTAAAGTGTGTTGTGTCTTTCAGATACCGACTTTGATGGTGTGGAGAGAGGAGCTATGTTAACGCATCCAACAGCTTCTCGTGCCAAAGCGCCGCGTAGACGTTTGCCTACCGGCATGCTCAACAAGGAAGTGGTAAGATCTATTCATAAACCTGTTCATTCATCTGTTGAAACTTGTCTGTATGTTCTGTGTGTCATCATGTTTTCTTTACAGGAGCCAGCAGGTGGTATGACAAATGGCAATGGGGAAAGCCATAACCATTCAGTGGAAAGCAATTTCTCACTTGACGAATGTGATAGAGAAAATGGTTTTGAATCTGGCACTCCTGGTTCTGTAAGTAGCGCATCCAGTGGCACAACTTCAAATCGCAACAGTAAAGAATGGGAGAAAAACAAAGCTCCTTGGATGGCTGAATTAATAATGAATCAAGCAGCCAAAAAATCCCAGGGAGTTAAAACACCTCCAGCTCCAAGTCCACCTAAACCAGATTCAGGTATGTGTTGGATAAACAACATTGTACTTTATTACTTTTATTTTATATTTATCTATCAATAACTCAAATGTTTCAGCACGAATTAAAAAAGAAATACCAGATAGTCCAGCAAGCCCTACATCTCCAGAACCCCCAAAGATAAATGCTGTCACTGTCCGTCAGAACTCGGCTACAAACAATTCCACAAATCATGTATCAAATATTCCATCTTCAGTATCAGCAGCTTCTCGCCCACAATCTGTTCATGGAGAGATTCCTGCGAATCGGTTATCAGGAACAGGAAGTCGCCCTAACTCAATGTATGCACCTGCAGCCAATGACAAAAATTCAACTCCATCTAGTAATTCTATTGCTGCAAGTATTGCTGCGAGTACTGCTGGTGGTACAGTTCCCATGAAACAATTTTTGGAACTTGTTGATAAGGTGAGCAACTTATCCCATTATCAAATCTAGTGCTTTTAATGATCTTATTCTCTTAAATTTTAATATACTTATGGACCCTTTCTCTTCTGCAGGTGTCAAAGCTGGAAAGTCATTGTGACCTCCTCAAGCGCACTGTCACAGAGCTAAGCTTGCAATTAAAAGAGGAAAAGGAGAAGCGATTTCAAATGCAGCAGGAGATAGTTAAACTTACTGATCTTGTGACCCAAGTTTAACATTGGTTAAAATCATAGTGTTTTTTTTCACCAAATTTGTTTGTCACATGTTAATTTAAATTCTTATGCACTAATATCAGTAATTGTGGACACTCAATTAAATATATTTTTGTCCAGTGCTTTCTTTATTGTTGATAATTTGTGTATAATGAAACAAGAGTCAAATGAAGGAGGGATTACTGTTTTTCTTTCTTTTTGGGTGTGCAACCGTGATTGTTGTTTGTTCATCAAACTTCATGGTAATCAATCTCACTGAAAACTCTTTTTCAACATCGCATTCAAGTATCTCTCCTTCAGTTGACTCTTGAAGTTGCAATGTCTTTGAGAACTTTGTTCTGTGTACATTCAGTGTACCTATTTTGATAAACATTGCTCCAATTTCTACAAGTAGGCTAATTGGACCCTACATACATAAATATTGTTTGTTTTATTCTATCAATCTAATGTTGCTAGCTGATTCTCTCAGCTCTTGAGTACTTACAGTTTTTCTAGTCTTTCAAATACTTTTTTCATCAAGCATTCCTGAACAATCGTGTTTGTTCTTTCTTTATCATTGTATTTTAAAATGTAACCATGTTTTGATCAAATTTTATCACCTTTGACTATATGCTCAATTAATCACAGTGCTATGAATGTTAAACTGAATCAACTGAATAATGTAGTCTTACTGGATGTAAAAGACAAACAAGAAGACTGCCTTGCCCACATGGATTTAAGTTACATCAGATGTCTGCTTCTCAAATTCAGACAGAGGTGTCAAGAGAAATGTGTGCTTTGTTGTTATTTATCACTTTATGAAACACAAAGTAGATAATAGCTGTGATTTCAAGGCATTCCAATGACTTTTTCCATTCTTATTTAACTGACTGAACATCGGTTTTCCCAGATTTTTAAACTTTGAGTGATGTTTTGTAGTCATGTGTTTTATTTAAATGGTACCAGTTTATTTTCTGTACCAATTTATATTTGTGTAATATATGTACCTCTTTCCTTATTCTTTTTCTTCAAATGTTATCTGCATTCCATTTTGAATGAAGGCATGTAACAAGCTTGAAAAGCATAAAGTCAGACGATAAAACTTAGCATAAGCAGAAATTATATTTCTATTGCAGAGCCCAATGATTAAAAGTTTGAAATTAACTGCACTAATTCTACATTTTATATCTTGGTTTCAAATTGATAAGGTAGTTATACTTATGTGCATTGCCATCAGGAAGTTCTATGATACTTTTTTCACCCATCATGCATTCCATTTATGTATTTCAATAATTTATATCAGAACTAATGGTATAAGGATAGTTATGTATTAGAGAAATTTTGCCCGGGAACAAATGGCTCCAAAATACCAGTGAATGATATTTTATTTTTTGATCATGTTCGTCGAATTTAGTTGGCTCTGAAACCAACATGTTTTTGTAGCTAGCCCTTGTAGTTCTTTAAAGTTTTTTTTCTTTCTTTCTAAAATTTAGACCAAAGTTAAGGTGATGAATTTAATTTTGTTTTATATCACTGCCTCCATTATTCCTTTATTTGTTTCTGGCATCTGCTGGCAATTGGTTTTAATTTCAGGTCTTGCTCTTCAAAAGTTTTAACAGTTAATTAATGTTATTATTTGTCTCAAGTCCCTATAGTGGTACAATCATCCGGCAAGATGTTACGACAGAGAGTCTAATGATCAACTTTCCCAATTTTGCTTGAACTTTTTTTGTAATGTACACTTTAGAAGTATAGATGTATTTTTATAACCCTTGTACAGCTGCTGTCAGACTTCTGCCATACTTAGTGTACATGCTTTTTGTTTAAAGGTATATACATAACTATGCAAACATATGAACATAGTATATAATTTAAATACTTACGTTTACTGTACATGGATATGTGCTTTCTTGAGAGTAGGGTGTACTCTGTAATCTAATCTATGGTAATCTTGTAACAACCCAAGATACTTTTTCAGCTAAGTAATGTCTCACAAGAGGCTATCAAAGGGGAACGACGTAGGATTGGAATAGTCATACCTGTTCCATTTACTTTCCTTAATCAGTATTTCTTATTCTAAGCTGATAGATGTCCAGTATTAAAAGAAACACATAGTTAAACGTCCTCTTAATTTCAGTTATGAAAGAATGTTGAGTTTATTGCAACTCACAGTGAACCAGTTTACTCCAGAAAAAAAGCCTGTTTGGAACAAGGGCTTATTTGTGGCGCTTTTCAAAATTAAAGTGCTTTATACAATGACAGCAATACTCAACAAGTGTCACTGATATGTTGACTACTTCAAAGTTTTGATTGAGGTTCTCGTGATGCATAATACGATTCCTTTGTGCAACCTATTTTATACTTGGCATAATATTCAGGACTGTAAGACTCATTCATTGTATATCATTTAGGACTGATATTCTAGAACAACTGGTGCTATGTTTGTTGCATTAGAGTGCAGTTTGTTCTCATGTTCTTAATTTTACCCTTGAGGTAGAAACCCCTGCAATAGGTATTATGAATGTGAGTAGAATGTAATGTACCAGAATGCTGGTTATGACCGACAAGATTTAATTTCTTTGCATTCATATTGCCATTAGTGTAATCTAATGTGGATTTTGTTCAATGGGAAGCAGTTGTCAATTCTTGGGCAGCATGCATATTTATTGGCAAGCATATCTAATTGTGAATGCATATAAAAAGTGTAAATGAGTTGAAAGCAAAAGCTATTTTGAATATTCTTAGATTTATCTGGGGTCCTTAAAAATTAAAGAAGAGGCTGCCCTTAATTGACTGCTCAATTGTATTGCATATAAAATCATCGGATCATGGTTGACACCAGTGAATTTGGACTGCTTGTGTAAGGAAGGTAGTAAAATGTATGTAGCTAGGAACTCAATGAATGATGAGTGAAAGATGAATTCTAAAATTAATTTTCTCTGGCCTTAAAATGCTTCAAGTTGAGTGAATTCTCATTCTTCAACCGGTACTTTTCTCAGAAACTCTTGTAATTTGTTTTATTGATTTAAAAAAATAAAACATTTCAATTTTTATTACGGTCAGGTTGTGACTATTAGGTAAAAACTAAGTGCCGAGTTATAATTAGAAATATCAGTTCAGTTCTCAGAACAACATCAAATCATTAAAACTTGCAATTCCGCATGCAATGCAATATTCTTTTATTTTGCTTGGTGGTGAGTAATTTGGTGCTTCTGCAGTGTTTTTTTTTGTTTAGTTAAAATTTTTGTTGACTTTTCTCCTAATGTCAAAGGTTGTGTTTTGCACATGTCAGTGGACTTGAACAGTCTTCAGGTACTACATGTATGCCCTATACACACTGTCAATGCCTCAGATATCAACTTGTATGTTTATCAACATGCGCTCATCCGGAGAAAATCCTTGTATTTTTGTTGAATAAAAGTGTGTTGGACTATTGTTCCATTTGCAGTGAAAGCAAGTTGTGTCTCCATTATTAAAGGGTCCCACACAATAAGCCTTTTTCATTTTTTCCGGGTGGGGTGGAAGGCCAGGGCCTTACTCTTGTGTCTGGAGGTGTTTAGGAGGGCGTAGTAAAGGTACTTTTCGTCAACTGGAAAAAACATTCTACCTCAGAAAATAACGCACGGGTTCTGCACGGACGTCTCTTGCGTAACCGCAGGTTGGGCTGGGCGTTAGTGGCCGGCATTCGGCATTCAGTGAATCCAAGTGAACCGTCTGGGAAGTTTTCAGTCCTGGAGCCGGTTCTTCGACGGCGAGCCCCCCCC